GTCAAAGCCGAAGTCAAAGCCGAAGTCAAAGCCGAAGTCAAAGCCGAAGTCAAAGCCGAAGTCAAAGGCGAAGTCAAAGGCGAAGTCAAAGCCGAAGTCAAAGCCGAAGTCAAAGCCGAAGTCAAAGCCGAAGTCAAAGCCGAAGTCAAAGCCGAAGTCAAAGCCGAAGTCAAAGCCGAAGTCAAAGCCGAAGTCAAAGCCGAAGCCAAAGCCGAAGTCAAAGCCGAAGTCAAAGCCGAAGTCAAAGCCGAAGTCAAAGCCGAAGTCAAAGCCGAAGTCAAAGCCGAAGTCAAAGCCGAAGTCAAAGCCGAAGTCAAAGCCGAAGTCAAAGCCGAAGTCAAAGCCGAAGTCAAAGCCGAATTCAAAGCCGAAGTCAAAGCCGAAGTCAAAGCCGAAGTCAAAGCCGAAGTCAAAGCCGAAGTCAAAGCCGAAGTCAAAGCCGAAGTCAAAGCCGAAGCCAAAGGCGAAGTCAAAGCCGAAGCCAAAGCCGAAGCCAAAGCCGAAGCCAAAGCCGAAGCCAAAGCCGAAGCCAAAGGCGAAGTCAAAGCCGAAGTCAAAGCGAAGTCAAAGGCGAAGTCAAAGCCGAAGTCAAAGCCGAAGTCAAAGCCAAAGTCAAAGCCGAAGTCAAAGCCGAAGTCAAAGGCGAAGTCAACGCCGAAGCCAAAGGCGAAGTCAAAGCCGCAGCCAAAGGCGAAGTCAAAGCCGAAGCCAAAGGCGAAGTCAAAGCCAAAGCCAAAGGCGAAGTCAAAGCCGAAGTCAAAGCCAAAGGCGAAGTCAAAGCGAAGTCAAAGCCGAAGCCAAAGGCGAAGTCAAAGGCGAAGTCAAAGGCGAAGCCAAAGGCGAAGTCAAAGCCGAAGCCCAAGGCGAAGTCAAAGCCGAAGTCAAAGCCGAAGCAAACGAAGTCAAAGCCGAAGTCAAAGACGAGTCAAAGCGTCAAAGCCGCCAGTCAAAGCCGTCCAAGGCGAAGCCAAAGAAAAGTCAAAGGCGAAGCCAAAAGGAAAGTCAAAGCCGAAGTCAAAAGCCGAAGTCAAAGCCGAAGTCAAAGCCGAAGTCAAAGCCGAAGTCAAAGCCGAAGTCAAAGCCGAAGTCAAAGCCGAACTCAAAGGCGAAGTCAAAGCCGAAGCCAAAGGCGAAGTCAAAGCCGAAGCCCAAGCCGAAGCCAAAGCCGAAGCCAAAGCCGAAGTCAAAGCCGAAGTCAAAGGCGAAGCCAAAGGCGAAGCCAAAGCCGAAGCCAAAGGCGAAGTCAAAGCCGAAGTCAAAGCCGAAGTCAAAGCCGAAGTCAAAGCCGAAGTCAAAGGGAAGCCCACGAGCCTGGAAGGGGAATCCACTTATCCCAAGGCTCCCATTTTGCGCTTGACAAAACCACCAGGGCCCAGCCCCCAGTCTGAGGCCTCGGAGGGCTGCACGCTCGCTTGCCTGGAAGATCCAACTGCACCCGACCGCCGATGTGAAGGCGTGGCTCAAAAAAGGGAAGTAGCTGTGGCTCAAAAACATGTGCCCAAAATGCGTGCATTTACCTTTTGGAAAGCCATTTGGCTGTGGGTCAAAAACAGGGTAACCCCAAAATGGCGCCAAAAGGCAAATGTAACCAGAGACTCTATCACCTGCGTATCCCATCAAAAGGCGGGCACCTACGGGCGGCAGCAGGTATTAAAGGGTCCATATTTTTGACAACACCCCCAAGTGGCCATGGTTCAAAACCAATGGTACCATTTTGAGTCTATTACAGTGAGGATTGGGATGTTCACTGGGGGTACGGGGTTTTGACCCATGGCCATGTGACCTGACGCCCCGACTCTGCTTTCAAGTCCCACCATGTGATTCGCCCGGCGCGTCACACGTCGAAACATGCAAGAGCTGCCGGCTGCTCCACGACTTTCTGCGAGCTTGCCTGAAGAGGCGGGCAAAAGCTCACGGCGTGCAACAAGCATCTGTTGATGCATCACGAAGCATCAAAACGGTAAACCTTTCTGGCAACATGACCTAGGGCTTGTGGTTTAGGGTTTGGGCTTTGGGTTTAGGGTTTGGGGTTTGGGGTTTAGGGTTTAGGGCTTAGGGCTTAGGGCTTAGGGTTTAGGTTTAGGGAACCCTGCAACAAGTCCAGCGGAGGTTGCTCGAGCACAATAAGCCTCGATTTAACTCCCAAGCCTCGGTGACACGAAGCCAAGGGCAGCTGCCAGCAAAAGGCAAGGCCTGCCAAGTTTCAAGCTGTGAAGCGCGGCAAGGCTAAGGCCGGATCTCTTTTGAGATTTGAAAGCAAGTGAGTCAGAATCAAAAGCAATCGGTACTTAAAATGGTCTACCCAGAGCCAAGGTTTTGGTGGTGGCTCAAGAAAAGTCAAAAAAAAACAGTCGGCCACGCTAGCACCGATTGTTCCATCTTGCCTCGTCCTGTCTGCGCACAGCGCACTAAGCATCGCCACGCTGAGCTTCGCTGGCAGGCAGATCCTTAGCCATATCTCAGTGGTATCAAGCGGCCGACTGACTGCCAAAATCAAACTAGGAAGGCCATCCTGGTACATCACAAACCCTCTGGATCCGGCCCCTTGGGCCTTGCTAGAAAACCTGCTCAGCCAGTCAGGGGCCAACGGCGAAACCCCCGTCTTGGACAGAAAAAACGGCACTGCCCTACCCAGCTGCCCTGTGGTTGAGAAAATCCTTTCCTCGCAGCCGATGTAAGGGGCAGCTTCTTTGCTCATGTTTCCACTTGCGTTGCTTCCATGCCTGGTGTCTCTTTTGAGGCTCCGGCACAGGACGTGAGGGCCTCATTTCTGTACGAACACTGTCAGTCAAATGAGTTGTCTTGAAACACGAATTGAATCTAACTAACATACTCTTCTTGATTTGTTTGAGAATACCCCCAATTCACCACCAGGACACGGACCGCGGGTTACCCATTTTCGGGGTTACCCTATTTTTGACACCCACAGCCTTGAAGTTCAAAGGGAAAGGGCAAAACTTGCTGGTTCTCACCAGGGAGTAAGGGAATGACCCCAACAAACCATCCCCCGCGGTTTCCTTCATTCGGGAATCCCCAAATGGTTCATTCCCAACAACCGGGCTCGTCGTCATTGCCTATCGCACCAGCAAGAAAAGACACCACCCCAGCCAGCCACCTATCTGGAGGGGTCCCCATTTTTGAGAAACATCCATAGGGGTTGCTCGTTTGACATGGGAAACCGAAACAGAAAAATCGCTCCTGGGACCCACTAACCCCAATGCGGATCGATCCGCCTGGAGGTCGCGGGCAGCGACACGTCCATCAGCCGAGCCGAGTGAAATCCGGCGATCCGTCCGGAAGCTACGCTCAGCCTAGCTCACGGCTAAACGCCTGCGGGACCGCACTTGGGGTTCCAAAGCGGCAGGCACAACCCACTCAACAAAACATGAGTCACAATCAAAACCCGGTACAAAGATTGTCTACCCAGAACTATGTAAAGAATTAAGAAGGTGCCGCAACTATTTCTGGCTGAGACTGCCCCTTACTAACCTTCATCTACCCGGGCTTTGATTGTGGCTCACATGGTGTTCGGCTCTCCTTCGACTTGATCCGTGAGGTCACGGGAAATTCACTGGACCAGCATTGAATGTGCTCCGGGCGGACATGCAAGGTGCTCCAGGCTAAGTCAAGAGTCGCAACCTCCCGCAAGCGACAGACACTTAAAGGGGCGATCGGGTACTCAGTAAGTGGTTAGCAAGCCAGTAAGCCTTGTTGTAACTCAAGGAGACTTGTAACCCTGGCTTTTGTTGGTTTGTAACCAGGCTTGGTAACCACTTACCTGACGTACCTGAGACCAATCCTCAGCCGCTCCGAGCGCCCGGCACGGAGAGCTGCCTGCCTGAGCGGACTGCGTGCGGCTTCTCATTTCAGGAAAAACGAAGGCTTCCGGCATGGACGCGGCATAGTCGTCCACCTCAGACAATTCAATACGAGTCCTCTGTAAACAATAGCATTCAATGCAACTGCGCGAAAACAATATCTGCCCAAATGGCAGTTTTGGTGCGTAATTTGAAACAAGTCGTGAGCGTTCAAGCCCAAACGACCGCCCTGTCCGAGTTTGCAGAATCGGATTGGGCAAATCCGCCGATGGGAAATCCCATCGTGGCTTTGGCACCCTCAAAACCCATTGGTCACAGAAGCCAATGCTCGAATCTCGGAACCTGTGAACCAACCATGAAGACATTGGGAAAGGGATCTCCAACTCAAAAAAAGATGAACAAAAGCTACTTACAGGAGCAGGGTACTTCGTAAGTGGTTGGTAAGCCTGGCGAGACAACCCACTGAAGGGAGACTTATAACCACGGCTGATACGCGGGTTCTCTCCAGGCTTACTCTCACCACTTCCCTGACGTACCGAATCGATCGCCCCATTTTAGCACGGCATGAAGTGGGCGAAGCAGAGCGAGGAGCTGAGGGAAGCGCGAGAAAAAGACCAGAGCGATGAAAAGAGAATAATGTTGACCTGTGTAAGCCTAGCTCTTGAATAATAAACTAGAGGACGAGTGGCCCGGAAGCATGGAGGCAAGTTAGTTGTTAGCGATCAAGTAGTCTAGTCGCGACAAGCTGCACACAGACAGATTCCGCTTTTTGTCAGTAGCTCGAATATGGTACTAAAAGTTGAGGAATTTCATGCACTTCTCAGTGCAGGTTCTCCCTGCTCATCGCGATCTTGCCCACCATCATGTCGCGCGTGTAGATCGAGTGGCTCGGCATGTGGATCTCGATGATGCATACCATGCTTCGGGCGGCTCCAACATGAACAAACAGGCAGCAAGCAAACTACCGCGATGTTGATTAGCGCTAGCTTGAACCAACCACCAGGCGCGTGGTGCGGAAGGCGAGGCGGGGGAGAACCAACACCTGAGGCACCGTGGAGAAACCACCACCACCTGGGCGAAGCGAAACTGGAGCGAAGCTCCTGGACATGCAGGCAACTTACAAATGCAAATGCAGAAGTGTGGCACGGAGGTTGTTCAATCTGCTGATGTTGTCCGGCTTCACTCGGCTTCCCTTGGCTTCACTCGAGTGCAACAGCGTGCAGGCAGCACAACTGCTCAAGCATGTTATGTAGGTTGTTCAATCTGCTGATGTTGTCTGGCTTCACTCGGCTTCCCTCGGCTTCACTCGACAGGCAAACGTGGAGTCCACACTAAGCGCTCAAGCATGTCACGCAGGCTGCTCAATGTGCTGATGTTTTCAAAGTGGCAGCATCGAGGAAGATCGCGAAGCGCATGTTAAAAGATACGGCGGCTGCATGCTGCGCGCGAAGCTGTGCGTGGCGGCGGTGTGTGATGCTGCGCGCGATGCTGCGCAGGACGTGGGTGCGACAAAACAAGACTAAAACATAACACAGTAATAAATCACACGCGCCACATGCCCAGGTGCTTGAGAGCCCCGCCGCGCGTCAAGCCGGAACATAGGAACTGCTCCGCAGCTAACTCTACGCGGCAAAGGGCGAGAATTGCTCCGCGCCAGCTTGAACCAACCACCAGGCGCGTGGCGCGGAAGGCGAGGCGGGGGAGACCCAACACCTGAGGCACCGTGGAGAAACCACCACCACCTGGGCGGAGCGAGACCGGAGCGCAGGAAACTTACATAACGAGGTCTCAATGCAAACGCACAAGCGTGTCATGTAGGTTGCTCAATCTGCTGATGTTGTCCGGCTTCACTCGGCTTCCCTTGGCTTCCCTCGGCTTCACTCAAGTGCAACAGCGAGCAAGCAGCACAAATGCTCAAGCGTGTCATGTAGGTTGTTCAATCTGCTGATGTTGTCCGGCTTCACTCGGCTTCCCTCGGCTCCACTCAAGTGCAACATCGTGCAAAGAGCACAAATGCTCAAGCTGCTGATGTGAGTTGTTCAATCTGCTGATGTTGTCCGGCTTCACTCGGCTTCCCTCGAAGAGCAAAACGTGGAGTCAGTGCAAGCGCTCAAGCGTGTCACGCAGGTTGCTCAATGTGCTGTTGTTGTCTGGCAGCTTCTCTTACCAACTTTTCGAGAATTACTTCGCCTGTCGCCTATGTTGCTTCCGGGCCACTCGTCTGCATGCTGCGCGCCAAGGTGTGCGTGGCACGGTGCGTGACGCTGCGCGCGATGCTGCGCATGCTGTGGCATATGATGCTGCGCGTGAGGCTGCGCGTGGCGGACTTTGACTCGAGCGTGCGTCGCGCCGGAGTTTTCCGCCTGCGCACAAGCAAGAAGCAAAAGCCTAGAGCGCTCGTGACTCGCTCGCATTGTTGTTGCTCGTCGCGTGCGAGGCGGGTGTCACGCACTTGCAGACAGTCTGCCACTGAGACAACAGAGCTTCGAAAACATTCGCCTGCTCGTTGCACTCAGCAACAAGCCGTGCATCACTACCTGCGCGCTCAGTCTCTACTCACTCACGAGGTAATTATGCTGACCGGAGGAGTCACAAAGATCACGCTCGCCAAGGTCGTCCTTGCAGTCGCCGAAGTCTAACCGCCAAGAAGTTCGACTTTGCTCCACCGCGTACAGAGCCCACAGCACGTATCTCCGATGACGCCATGGACGAAGGCCAGGGCGCTTCTCGAGCAAGAGATCAATTGCGCTCGCAGCAGAAAAGCCGTAGGCTACAATGAGCCACGCGCAGAGCGCGCCAGCGCTGCGGTTGATGCCGCCAAAGCAATGGAACAAGACTTGCATGTCTTTCTTTTCGCAGACGTGAAGTTTGGCCAACCTCCAAAGCTGGCAACAGAGGTGCTTCCAATGCGTGAAGCAGTCCAGAGCACACTGCCGGAGCTGGTCCGCGCTGTTGCGCGGCTGCTTTACAGTCCAGTCCTCTAGGTGTCCTTGGAGATGACGAGCGCCAAAGTCTGCGAAGTATTGGCGCCAATCCTGCGGAGCGCCCCGGACGGTCATCTCCCGGCCACAAAGGGTGACCACTACGTTGACGCGCACTGCGAGCCAGCTGTGGATGTCCGCCAAGGAGCAGGCAGCTTTGAGGCTTCCCAGCAACACATTCTGACTTGCGTTCTCGGAGTGCACGACGCAGGCATCCAGCGGCCAGGCTTCAATGCTCTTGAAGCTATAGTCGTGCTGCCACACTCGGCAGTCCAGGTCCGACCAGGCGCTGCGCTTTTTGAAGCAGCTGTCGACGGCTCGCTGGCGGTCCTCTATCCATTCCTCCAACCCGTCGCATGGCGCAGGCAAAGCGCAGTCCGACATGGTATCAAGCTGCGCCATAGTCTTGCACCAGAAGCTGCTGACGGCCCCTGCACAGCATCCAGTCCGCATGCGCTTCAGTTCTCGTGTGCCCTCGTGCTTTTTTCACAGCCGCCTGTCAACATGAAGTTAGCGCCCGGGATTCGCAAAGAGCACGCCTTCCTGGTCGCGTTTCAAATGGTGTGAGAAAAGACTCGAAGCTACTACTACTACTACTAGGTCTCCTTCCGAATTTCCCAGCGTCCGCTTTTGACCTTGGAGGGAGTTTGCGCCACGAGGGCGTCAGCCGGACGCTTCGTCGCCGTGGTCTGCGCGGAGTCAGCCTGCAGCTCCACGACCAGGGAGCGCTCAGCAGCAAGGTTGTCCACTTGGCCCTCGTCCTTGACACGAAACATGCGCTCCACGACCGTGGTGACCTTACCCGCTTTGTCTTCGCGAGTCAGCGCTCCGAGAAGTAGCCGGGGAGTCCCGTCGGACATGCTGTACTGCAAGCACTGGGCAAAGCTGCACATGGCTTCCACGCAGAACTCTTCCTCTGCAACAGCCGCGTCGACAGGCACAACTTGGGCGTGCTGAATCAAGACGTGCTCGTCGCTCTGATCGCCAAATCGACGCAGCTCGCCTGCGTCCTTTGCACGTGCCAGGATGGTCACAAAGGCCGGGAAGATCACTGCGCCGTTGACCTTGATGCCCATGCCGGAGTAGGACACGTCAGTGCACACGCTGCTAACCGGATACACGGCCCCTTCTGGCCTCGACCCGGCAAGGCGCAGCACCTTTTTGATCATGGGGCGGCTATGAGCATCGTAGGCCTTTCCCAAGCACGGCTGCGCCGCCAGGACCTGGAACTGACACTCTGTCGTGCTCGAAGCCTTGCTATCGGAGTCTTGAGAGTCCTGTTGGGTCGTAGCAGCAGTAGAGTCTGTCGCAGGCCGATACTTGTTCATGCTGGAGCTGGTGGCCAAGCGAATGTCCAGCTGAGTTCGAAAGCACAGCCCCGCGGGCCCCTCTTTGTCAAGGATACGCAGCAGTGCCTGCTTATCTTCAGCAGCCGACAAGTCACACAGCGCAGCTTCGCCAACGAGAACACGCTCCAAGCAGCCCGTGTGGTCAGCAATGTCCAAAGTTGCAAGGACAGCCACCTCGTCATTCGGCGTGGAAGCGCAGCCCTCAGCCTTCTTCTTGCAGGCCTGTGTGCTTGCATCAATTTTGGTGCGGCAGTGCTTACAAGGTGTATAGCTGGGGCTGCCGTGCACGTTCGTCACCCAGATGCCATGCAGCACAACCTCCACAGCGGCCTCGTTTCGGTTTGTCAGCGCATGAGTTCTAGTCTAGCACTACAGGGCTGTCACCCAACTGCAGACAAGGGGCTCAGGAGCTCGGTCCTGCATAGTCAAGGGGCAAGCAGCAACGGTCGCTGCGCAAGACACGTACTTCTCCGAGCCGTCCGTCTTCATTCGCAGCGCGCCGGCCTGCAGGCTCCACGGCGTGGAAATGGCGTGGCCCCTGTCGCAGTCGAGCTGCCGCAAGCGCTCGGCGCGCTCTCCCGCAACATCTGTGGTCAGGTGGCTGAAGCTGTGCCGGTCGGAGTCCAGGAAGTCCTCGCAAGAGCCTTCCACGGACCCATCGAGCTTCTTGTGCAAGAGGCAGTTGTCGATCTGAGCCAGCTGGCCTACCTTCATGTCTCTGGCCGCGCTCACCATCCGCGAGCCCCAGGCGCTGATGGCAATCTC